TTCTATTATTACGGATGCACAGGATAAAAGTATATTACTCTTGTTTTGTTAAATAATTATTTTATAACTTGACAATATTGAATCAAAGTTCACACACACACCCAGATTTATTTTTTTAAACGTAGGTGCTTCAAAGTTTACATATGGCCATGTTACATATCTTGTTGCAAATCAAGGTAAGATTTTAAATTTAAGAAAACAAGAAAAACCTATGGTCTTTACGGTCTATTCTTTTGAGTGGTACATAAAATATTTTTTTGGTCCTTTATTATTGGTTTATACTTTTTCGAATACATTTTTCCATCTTCCTTTAATGAGGTTTGTATAAATATGGTTTTGAAGGCTAGTAAGGATTAAGATGCATGATGTATTGCCAAATTTTCTTGTTAAATGATGGTCCCAAAGTTTTACAATGATTTTGGTACACAGATACAGAAGCCTTTATTATCTGTTTGGAACAATTTAGCTTTATAAAAAAGAGAAAAAAAACACAGAGGCTAGATTTTTTTAAAATTTATATTTCAGATCCTTTTAGAAAATCTGGAATTGACATTGGTGGTCTTGCTGGATGATAATGGTTGATTTATACAAAATACATAGGTATTGTATAGCAGTTTACTATATTCTCATTTTAGTTAATGAACTCTTTACTTCCCATTGGCTGTAGGATATCAATGGAAATCTGTAAAAATTGGGATTCCCACTTGGTGTTTGAATTCTTTAAAATGTTTGATTTTATAGTTGCCCATTTAGCACATGACTCAGGATGGTATTAAAACCATCTAAAATGACACATTAAACAATAAAAACCAAAAAAGTATATAATGTGCCAGAAAAAAAAAATCAGGTAGTAGAATCACTTCATTTCCTGATCCAATGTCCAGTACTGGGAAAGAGTTGGACCTATAATGGCTCAAAAGGCAGGTAGGATGGAAGCCAACTGAATCTCAGGGAGATTCTGCTCCAAAGGGGAGGGTCAGCTATAGAGAAGCCATATGTCTTGGACTCACGAAATGATGATGGGACTTGGAGTATGGTGATACTCTCATCCTCCTGGATGGGCAGAAATAATCAGAGATAAGATAGACCTGCAAAAAACCCAGGCCATGTGCCATTAAGGACTTTATAACTAAGTATCAGCATCTTGAATTCTACCTAGAAGAGCTCAATCATTATGGACATGATTAGAGAGTTATGTAAAATATGTTGGGGCTTGGCCTCCTCTTTAGTCAAGATTCTACTTTATTTCCACCATTTGTTAAGATGGAAGTACAAGTACAGTCTTGAGTCATATAAATGTATACTCTGGGATCTGAAAAGAGCAGGACATATTTGTAAAAAAACAATTAGGTTAATAATAGCCATATACTTTAGGTGTCGTATTTTAAACTTTCTAATTGCAAGAGGAATTTGGATTGTCTAAAAATGCAAAATGGCAACATAGCCAATTAAAACATCTTTTGATTTCACTTTTTTTCTTCTTCTTGTGGCATTACTAGCACGCAAAATGCTATCAACATACAAAGATGTTTTGGGTAATGGTAAACTTGCTGCATTTTTAATAAATAAAAATATTGACAGGGCAAATGTTTATAATTTGGAAGAACTTTGGAATCAGGTTGAAATACCCTGCCTTTTAATGTATTAATGATTAACTGTCTTAAAACATTATATCTTTGTGTCCCTTCAAGACTCAGTGTTGACTCGTGGCTACCAGTTGGGCAAGTCCCTGCAGCTGTCTTGGCAATATTTTCAAAAATGACTTGCCATTGTCTGCTTCCTATGGTATGTAGGGACTGACTGGCCCAAAGTCACCCAGGACAGAGCCTGGTACCTAAGGCAGGATTAGAACTCAGTGTGTCCTGGTTTCTAGCCTGCTGCCTTAACTACTAGAAAATAAATATCACTTATTTTTTGGCCAGAGCACAATATTCTGTTACACCAATAGACCTCTGTGGTAGATATAGTAACTGTCTGTATTAAAGTGACAGGAATCTGGCTTTGTGAACATTTCTTTAAATTCAAGAATATGGACTGAAGTTTTTTGGGTGTACAGATAGTCCTCAAGATAGAACAGTTCATTTAATGACTGTTCGCACTGAAAAAACTGACCTATGACCATTTTTCAGACTTGCAACCGTTGTCACATCCCCATGGTCACATGATTTCCATTCAGATGCTTAACAACTGACTCACATTTAGGACAGTTGCAGTGTCCCAGAGTCATGCGATCCCTTTTGCGACCTTCTGACAAGCAGTCAATGGGGAATCCGCTTAACAACCGTGTCACTGATTTGCAGCGATTCACTTAACAAATGTGGCAAGAAAGGTCGTAAAATGGGGCAAAACTTAACAAATGTCTCACTTGACAACATAAATTTTAGGTTGTTTGTGGTCGTAAATTGAGGATTACCTGTATTTTAATTCCAAGCAGCCCTATCAAAGTTGATATTGTTTTATTGGAGAAAAACTTCAAACAACTTGTGTTTCAATTATGTTTGAATATTCCAGCCATAGGAATCAATGGGAATGTGGGACAAGAAGCTATTCCCTTATTTTTCCCTCCATAGTTGCAAACTAGGTAAAGTTGTAATCAATTGAAAAAAGTTTGGCTAAGAACATGATGTTGAAAATACTTTGAAAAGAAATATTCTCATAATGGGAATGTAGCTCATGCTTTCAACAATGTATGGTCTTGTGATAAAATAATAAAAGTTGAGGTTTGATGTTAATGCCTTATTCTACTGCACCAAAGGGAAGCCTGCGCCTTTTTTCTCTTTTTCTTCTTTTCTTTCCCTCATTTTTCTCTTTCCTATTTTCCCTATTTACTTTTGTATTTTCTTTGTATGCTGTTATAAATTAATAAAAAAACTATTAAATAAAGAACCTGTGAAATGTTTAAATGTGCATTTGTTACCCTACCCCAATACCAAAAGTAACAGAAGTTTTAATTTCCTGAAATGAACATTTCAATTTGCTCAGATAGATTATGGAACAACAGCAACTAAGCTTTGAATCATTCCTAAAAAAAGAAATTTTTAAGAATTTTATATTTTTTTTTTAAAAAGTAATCCTGTTGGTGAATTTTCTGGAGGCACTTCCCCCCCCCCCCCCCCAGCTTGCTTGCTAGGAGCAAGCCCTCCAAAAACCCTAACTACCGGTATATTCTTCTTTCTCAGTAGATCTACTTGTACAGCAGGTGGCTGCTTGTTTCCAAATAAATAAATAAATAAAATAAAAAAGGAAAATTCTCTTTTGTTTCTTCGTAGCAACAACAGTTAACAAGGATAGAATACGCTTGCAAACATTCATCAAAACAATACAAGCCAACACGCTCCTGGTAGCTTTTGCATTTCTCCAACTCCAGTGTATTAGCAGTCCTTAGGGGGCGGGGGGAGGGGGGAATGAAGCAGATGAATGTACATGCACACGCTTATTCCTGCTTATCTGCCTGCAAAACAGACAACAGCCAGCTCTCACCCATTTAGCCACAAGAGCTCTTTCTGGGAGCAAAATAGATTTTTAAAAAGCACTAACTCGGCATGCTGGGAGGCAGGTGGCTGTGAGCACCCTTTTTCTATCTGGCCATATGGTTAATTGCTCTTTTTTTTCCCCTCTAAAGCCTCCATTCCCAAATAAGGTCATCCTGTATAAACAAATAGCAGCAAGGACCTAATGGGTTTCTGACATTTTAGCCTGGAAAAAGATGGGTGAGGGAAGGAAGGAAATAACCTATTACAAGTCAGAATTGTAGCCTTGGAGCAATCAGAACACTCAAATTGGGCCCCTTCAAATATTTGACATTCCAAATAAACTATCAAACTACAGTACGCATTTTGTTCCATGCGGAATTGAGGAAAACTTGAGATGAAAATGTTTTAAACTACCTTATTCAATAATTTAACAGAGTTATGGACATTAGAACCTAGCTTTGGATGTAAAAGTCAGTTGGTCATTAGGATCATTAATTCCATCATCTATGTGGCTCAAAAATACAGGCACTGTAGTTCTCCACCTGTGACTAGTCATTGAGCGGCCATTCAAAATTATTGTAGCACAAGACGATTGCAGCGAGGCAAGGTCATGTGATCACCATTTGCAACTTTCACGGTCAGTTTCCACCAAGCAAAGCCAATGGGGAAGCCAGCAGGGAAGATCACAAGGCGCTTGTTTTTTTTCTTCAAGGAGCCCCACTGTAGTGTGTGTCCACCAGCCCACCTACGCTCCCCAGTGCCAGCCCACAACACTTGCGGCTCCTGCTTGCTCCCTCCAGACCTTCCCTGTGGCTCTAGCCAACCTACCTGCTGTGTGTCCCAGCCACCTGCAGCCCCCTCTAGTCCACCTGCTCCCTCTGCTGGCTTGCCCATACAGAACACCTTCTTAGCCCTCTTACTTGGGACTCCCAACTCTTCCCGCTTAACAACCCGGGATCCTGGGGTTATCCTGGCAACTAAGAGTGCTGTTGCTAAGCAATGCAGTCATGTGGGCATCATACTTTAACAACCGCATGATTTAGAAGTGGCAATCCCAGTCCCAATTGTCATCGTAACCCAAGGTCTACATGTAAATACGTTCAAGGCCATATAGCGTAGTTTGGCAGGGCTGTCAAGAGTATAAAACTGCTATGCAATATGCGTGAAAACGTACTCTTGAACTATGATTATCTGGCTAAAACCTTGTTGAGTTGCTAAACATAATAGATAAACTTCACTTCATTGGTCTATGTTGATTAAAACCACAATCTCTCTCCCCATCTCTCCCCCCCCCCAAATTCCTCTCTCTTAAAATGCTAACATTTCTTTCATCTTAACTTTCAGGGATCTATCACTCCCCTCAGAGTCCACCCCCCCCAAAAAAGTCTGGCTTCTCTCATCTGAAGAGAAATACAATATTGCCCCTGGGTGGCATTAAGAGTAAACATATTTGTATTAATATATATTACAAATTCTGCTCCCACCCCCCCACTCCCACTCCTTATCTTGAATCAAAGAGGGTCAGGATTTGATTTGGCTTATTTTTTATTCAAGTTACAAAACAGAAGCAGTTGGTAAAGTCCACTCAAGGCAGGGATGAAAATCAAGGCTGTTGTAAAACAGGGAGCTGCTGTAAGAGCAAAAGCAACCTATGTAGAGACAGAAGTGTTTACACTCTTGGCTTGGCCTGGCCAGCCATTTGGGGAAGCAGGGAGAAAGAAAATGGGAATGGGTAAAAGGAAAATGGGTTCCCACCCAAGCAGCAGCATTAGCTAAGGTCAAAGGCGTACACACCACCCGCTCATAGGTACTGTGCAACTGACTTAAGAGCCTGGAAGGTTCCCTCTCTCTAAATTCACACTTTTTTTGTTGTTGTTTCCTACTCCCATTTAGAACAGGGGAAAGGCTGCCTCTGCAGACTGCTTAATGGGTTCCTCAGCTGTGGGAGGCACCTACAAACTGGGGCACAAAGTGAACACCTGTGTGCACTTAGCTTGGCAGCAAGTAAAGAAAAAGAGCATGAGAGCCCTTGCACTTTGCAGCTCTGTCTATAAGGCTGAAATGCTTGCAAATGTTTATTGAAATGCTTGGAAGTAGCTCTTGGTCCGTCTGATTTATTCACCCTGGAATTAATTTCTATATTAAACAGAGGCATTAACTGTAACAAAAGACCATAGCAGCCATACAGTCTTTTCCTTCCAATAGTGTCTGAATGTTAAAGGAACACTACTCCTTTTGTAGTATTATGGATCCCACAGACTATAGAGTTAGCAGATGTGGATCCACAGAACATTTGACACCATTTCAATTGCAGTCACAGAGTTAAAACTGTTCTAATTAATGGCCAAAATAATACGATAGAAAAAAAAAACCCATTGCTTTCTGGTGTGCTAGGAACAATCCTTTAGGAAGCTGAGGACATGTTATTGAATCCTCCGTTTCCCCAAGAGATAAAAGTCTAAGGAACCCCAGTCACGATGACCAACCTTATGAAAAAGAACAAATCAGGAGACTCTTATGAAAATGCCATTTTTAGGCAGGAAGAAACAAAGAGGCCTCCCTGTTTACAGCTAGATGCAGCTCCAAAGGTACTCCTAAGAGGGTCAAATGACCAGATCAACATTTATTGAACTTACATGTAAACAGTGAACCACAAGAAAACTGGGGAACACTTTCCAAGCCGGCTCGACTGAACCAGGCAGGCAGTGCAGTGCCCAGCTCAGTGTTCAACTGATCATTGCAATGAAGCCCACACCTTCAAATAGGCTTGTCTGTCCCGACTGTGTTTGCTGGTGTCATAATCCTCAAAGACATGGTGAGAAGTTGCTATAGAAAGGGCCTGCAGTCCAGGTGATTACTGACAGTCTAGTGAGCTGTCCACGCATGCCTGACAGGATTTGGAAGAGGTCATTGGTTCCTGGCTCTCTGTAAACCTGAGCTGTTTCCTCCTGGGTTTTGCCACCTCCTTGGCTGTCACTGCGGAGGAAGGGGGATACCCCTGGGGTCGGTGACTTGGCCTTCCTGGAGATTCTTGACCAGCTGGGCTAGCCAACGCTTGGTAGTGGTGTCGTCCTTCAGAACTTGGGCAAAGGTGGTGTCTTTCAGCTGATCAGGAAGGCACTGCCTGAGGGCTTCCCGTGCCCTACATCAAGAGACAAGAAAAAGGGGGCCAACAAATAAACTCACAGGGACAAGAGGGGAGCATGCCCCTCACCTGAGTATACAATTACTGTCCTTCATGTGTAAGAAACAAACAGACCAAGGCATCCCATTGCATCTCCATACCCTGCATCCTTCTCCTGTCCTATCACATTCCCTGGAATGCTGTATATTAACATTCTAGAAGATGTTAATTGTTAATCATGACTCTACTTGACTGAATAATTGAAGAAATGCACCTGGACTCTGTAAAAGGCTAGATCCATTGGTTGCCCTGGATCAATAAATACTAGTTTTGAATGAAAAGATGACAGCACAACACTTCCTATAAGACAGCTTTGCGTTAACCTTGTTTTCTGGAAGTGGCTTAGAAAAAGGCAAAGTTTTCTTAAGTTTCTTTTGGCCCCTGTTGCTCATGAAAGAATCATCTCCTGATCTTGGAATTTTATGATCACAGGTTCAGCCAGTGCTGCATTTATTTCATCTGTTTAAACCATTTGATTGTTGTGGTTTAAAATCTCTGTGAGGAAGCCTAAGAATACATCCAGACTCTCAAGTAATAATACTTATTTTGGCAAGAAATCACTTTTCCCTTGAAAGATGCTCTACATATGGGAAGGAACTGGATTACTACCCCTAGCACTTTAAACAGCAACTATGACTAGTTCCAAGTGGAGCACCCTCCCTAACCTAATCAAAGGACCCCTAGAAACTTTTAAGATGTCTACCTTGGATTATCGGAAAGGCGAAGGTAGCAACGGACCACATGTTTCAGCAGCCTGGCAGAAGGCTCCTTGGAAAGTTGCAAGACCATTTTACCCTAGGTTAAAACAGAAAACAAGAATAATGAAGAAATACATTGACTTCCTCATACTCATTCTTCAATGCTTTTGCTGTCCAGTGCTCAATTCAACGTAAAGCCTTTTCAGGCAGCAAAACAGCTTTTCATATATTACTGTGCAAAATGTTACACCTACTATGGTATGTACACTGCTCAAAAAAATAAAGGGAACACAAGCAGAAGACATCCGAGATCTGACTGAATGAAATAGCCTTATTAAATACTTTGCTCGTTACATACAGTAGTTTTGTGTTCCCTTTAATTGTTTGAGCAGTGTATAAACTACTGTATGTAAGGAACAAAGTATTTAATAAGGCTATTTCATTCATTCAGATCTCGGATGTCTTCTGCTTGTGTTCCCTTTATTTTTTTGAGCAGTATATATAAAATTTATTTTATTTTATTTGAAGAACATAAATAGTAGTCCATTGTGAGACAGCTCCCCCAAAACAAAAGTGAACATATAAAAAATGATCAAAGATAACTCCCAATGCCCTCAAACAACATTCCCCCAGATATTAACATGCACATTTATAGAGATCCAGCCTAACCCTAACCCGACTCTTGGGGGAACAGCTAGCTTTTCAAGGCCTTCAAGGTGGAGAGCTGCTGGATCTCAGGGGGGAGAGTATTCCACAGGGCAGAAGCATCTATGGAGACAGTCCACCTCCTAGGTCCTGCAGATGACATTTAATGGAAGAGACCTGGAACTATCCACCCTGTCCAGCATAGTGGAGCCTCAGAGGGAATGATCCTACAAAAAATCTGGCTCCATGCCATGCAAAGCTTCAAACATAATTACCAGGATCCTATCTTGAGCTATTAAGTTTTTATAAACAGAGAAGCCTACCAGTATCATTGCAACATGAGAAAATCGCTCATAAGTCTGACAGATGTATGCCAATCCCGTATCATCTAATAGGATCTTCTGTAAAATAAAAGTAGCAACCTGAAAAACAGAAAAGAATACGATTAACTGCTTGAGTTGAAAATGATACAGGAATAGGGCAGATACTTAGTATCTTGATCAAATCACCAAAACCAAATACTTAAATATTTAAATCTGCGGATTCAGAATTGCAAACTGTAAAACTGAATCCAATCCACATAAAACACAGTAAAAAGACTAGACGAGAAAAGAATATTATTGCAACTATCTCTCCTAATACAGTAAAATACTATCAAGATGTTGGCCATGTTTGTTACATGTTGATTTTTAATTGTAAGCGACCCAACTTGTTTAGGACTTGGGTGGTGTATAAATATAATTAATAAGTTAATAAGAGGTAAACAATTTCAAATGTACAGATATATACAGCAGACTTTACACCCATCGTCCCAGGACTAACAAATGAATCCATGGCAAAAGTACTACACAACACACCCAATTTAACCAAGACTGAAATATCCAGAATTGTGGACCTCTCCAAACTCTGTTGCACTGCCTACTTTCTGTTTCATAGATCAATATAAGAACAAATCATAGGAACACCCATGGAACTTCCACTCTCAGGACTCTCAACAGAGACTGTAATGCAGCATCTAGAAATTATATCATTCTTTCACATACAACCAAAGGTATGGATCTAATAATCTCAAAGGTGCTTTTTCAAAAGGCAACTGGTCTGTTTTTTCCTCGAGGAGTAAGAAAAAGTTTGCTTCTCATCTAAGAAGCTTCATCAGTTGTGGTGGTGGGGGGATGGAAGGATAGGTTCTGACAGGATGGGTGGTGGGGAATAAAAGGATTGTATTTCTTTGCAGTCATCTGGTCATTAGCACTCTCTCTGAGAGCTGTTGAGGCCAGTTGGGAGTTTATTTGTCCCTCAGGGTCAGGGTCACCTGAATCTGGGTGCAATTGGTTGTGGAATCTTATTGGAACTGCTGAAAGGGCTGTGTTGTAGACGAGAGATAGGTGGTGTCTTATTCCTCCCACTCTGTTGAGGGAGGGGTGTTCAATTTAACATAGATGGATTATTTGAACACCCCTCCCTCAACAGAGGGGGAAGAGTGGTGCTATCATAATAATTTAAGATTTACATATTGTAAGAATAAGTATAAAACTACTTTAAAATGAAAGATGGAACAGGCATCCATGATTTTGCTTTGTTTTTAAAGCAATGCTTTTTAAATGAAGCAGGGAATCATGACAATTTGAAAGCCACATCTTCAAATCACTTTGTAGAGAAAAAAATAGCTTGCTAATCTTAGATGGAAAACAAGTTTGTTTTGCACTGGAGTATCAATAAGTTGAATGGAAAAAATAAAATCAAAGAATTAAAAGCAGTACAATTTTTTAAAGTTCACTATCAGACAATTCATGACAATTTTGAACAGGTACATCTGCACTCTCTTGGTCGAAATAACCAACTTGCTAACTTTGGGTGTATCATAGAAATAAGATGCACAGGCAAGAAAAAGAGCAACTATGAAGTTGAAATAATTTCATTAATAATGAAAGCAATACCGTTTTGGAAAGCTCACTGCCAGACTCCATGATGCGCAAACACAAAGGGATAATTTCAGTTGTTAGTAGGAAATTGATAACTTCTTGTTCATCTGTTTTCACAAGAGCCCCTTTAAAACAGAGAAAGACCAGATAAAATTTCACAGTTCGACAAAAATCTAATGGAAGTTAAACTGACCACAGTTAAAAGAAAATTGGTAAATTATAACTTATTAAAGGAAAGATGGTAGAACCACGAACTAATTTCAACTAATTGTGCTCGTGTTACTTTGGTATTTTTCAATTAAACAATGTCTACATTAATCAGAATTAATGTTGATTTATGATACAAATTAAATTTATCAAGGCAAAATCGTCCCTCCATGATTGTAATAAATAAATGTTTGCCGTCAACAAATCTAAAACTTACTATAGAAGTTTTAGAACTAACAGGACCTTGCTATCTTTTATTCCTTCATTAACCAAATTTTAAATGAATGAACAGAATTACAGAAAATATTTGTAGAACTAGAGACTTGATTTCTGACAGAATATTTTTCCCTTTTGAATATAGTCCATTGAAAAAATGACCAGAAATTTCAACCTTGTTGAAATTATTACAAACAAGATATGTAATAATTTCTTCTTAAACATATTCAATCTTAACAATCTAGACCATGATTGTCCAACCTTTTGGCTTGCATGGAATGAAGATGAATTGTCTTGGGCCGCATATAAATATGTAATATAGTTAACATATATAAACAACAAACTTTCTTTATTTTTTAATATTTTTATTACCTTGTGGGGCTATATTACTAGCTGTTCAGGGTCACAGGTTGGATATGCCTGAACTAGACTAAAAAAAACATTTGAAAAATTGTGACATCACATCATTTACAAATCAAAGGACCCTTTTAAATACTACATAAAACTCTTACATCAGATACAAGAGGCTATTCCAGGGGCCATTAACCTTTCTGTAAAGGGCCAGATTCTGCCTTTCTTCTGCATCCATGGGAACAGCTAGCAGATCTGCAGGCCAAGGAGCATGGCAGCCATTGGATAATGCTGTCCTCCCAGCAAGGATGCTGCTGATAGACAGCAACTAGGAGGGTTTATGACAACTTGCCACAGCCAGCTCACTGCAGCCAGCTCACCATGGGACAACTTGCTGTGGGACAAGAGTTACATCAATATCGAATAAATGGTAGAATCATTAAAGAAAGGATTGAAAGGGACAGAATGAAATGTGAATGACAAAAATTAAAATATTTTTAAATTTATTTTAAATAATTAAACTGAATTGTTAAATTGTCCTGCGGTGAGTTGTTCCGCGACTAGTTGGCAGTGGCGAATTTGTCATGGCAAGTTCGCAGCAGTGAGTTGTCTCAGTCCACAACCAAGATGCCTTGCTCTCCTTGGCTCTGTTCCTTACTCTGGAGTTTAGCTGAGGCTTAGGCATGATGGGCTGTAGTTTCTTAAGCCAGGAACTATGCAGAGCATAAAAAATGAACTTGTGATTTGAATTTGATGAGTCAATATGGGACTCTATATGGTAAAAAATCTGTTCATTATCTTATTAAGGATTGATCATAAAAATAATTAATAGATGGTACAGGTGGTCCTTGCTTAATGAGCAACTTTTTGAAAATATGATGGTGCTGAACAAAGGGACTTATGACACACGCCTGAAATTATGGCTGTTGCATCATCCTCAGTCATGTGATTGCAATCTGGGCCCTTGGCAATACCTTCCACTTACAATAGGTTGCCAAGCACCATATAACCAAAACAACTCCTTTTGGTTCCTGGGGGCTAGCTGATAAAGAACTGTCCCCAAATCCAAGCAGGATTTTGACATGGAGTGTTTGCATCATGAGGCTTTTGGAGAAAACCCCACAAATGAGAGGGAGCTTATACCCTATGGCCATGATGGCGAACCTATGGCACGCATGCCACAGGTGGCACGTGGAGCCATATCGGTGGGCACACAAGTTCAGCTCTGCCAGCTGATTTTCAGACCTTCTGAGCCCAACAGAAATCAGGAAACAGGCTGTTTCCAGCCTCGGGGGGGGGGGGGGGGGGCGTTTTTCTTTCTCACCTGGCTCCAGAGCCTTTCTACGAGCCTGGAAAGGGCAAAAACGGCCTTCCCGACCCCCCGGAAGCCCTCCAGAGGCCGGAAATGGCCCGTTTCCCAACTGGGGAGAGTGAAAAACGGGGTGGTGGGGGTGGGGTGGTGTTGCTTGCGGGAGGGGGGGCACAGAATTACGGATGTGGGCATGCACATGTACGACCCCCCCGCACTCCCCCCGCTTTTGGCACGCAATGGTAAAAAGGTTAGCCATCACTGCCCTATGGGAAACGTCAGATAAATCAATTTTTAAAAGTGTTTTTTTGTCAAAACTGCCAATGGGACCTATAGGCACATTTAAATCACAGACAATAAAAACAGTTATATCAGTTCCTTCAATATTTTGAGGACTTCCATTTTACATTAATTAATTTGTAAAATAAATTATTTGGATTTAGAAAGAACTACTAAAAAAATGTAGCAGTGGGACATACATGTGGGATTAAGCTGGATCCTCTAAATTTACTTCCTAGTTGAACTGACATTTGTGCTAAATAGAATGTCAGAAATCTAGTGGCACAGACCATTTTAGGAGCTTTTCTCAACTTGTTTGCACTTCAGATATATGGTGACTGTTACTTCTACAATGTACTGCCAATGTGGAAGTTCAAACACTGACAATCTGTCATATAATTCCACATAGTTTTGTAACTCTCAAGCCAAATTTAAAAAAATCCCCCCCCCCCGAATTAATGCAATGCTTTTCTATACTTTTTACTGATGAATCTAGATTACTCTTAATTTCTCAAAAGCACAAATTTATTATAGGTAGCATAAGAAGCATCTTACCAATTACTCCAAGACTTGTGAGTCGCAGATATTCAAAGGGACGAGTCTTGCTGACAGTGTGCAAGAAGGGATACAAGAAGAGAGGGATATGTGCAGCAAGGAAAGCTGACCTAGACATGAAGGAAAAATGCATTTGACAAAATAGCAATCAGGAAGAGATAACTTTTATCATAACTTACGTTAAAATAACTATTTAAATATTAAGATACCTTTATTAGCTAATGATTACGATTCCCACAATGTCAAAACGCAAAGCATGTATACCTGGTTTCTGGATGTGATGCAACACATTGCAAAAGTGCCAGAGCATTGCATACTCTGTTGGATTGATGAGCTGTCAAAGTTGGTGGATTTATAGATGGGTAGATATTTACAATTTCCTATAAAAAAGAAAAAACACTAGCGTGAAAATATTTCTTACTGAAGCATTACCGAACACCCCACTAATTAGTTATAATCCCTTGATAGAAAGAATTATGCTCATATACTGACTAGACGAAGCAAATCATTTAAAAGAAAGCTGAAGACATAAAATATAGCAATTACAAGAATTCTGATTTTGGAGACTTTTATAGTTTTGATTTGGATATCCCAAATTCTTTATAACTATCTTTGGAACTTGGTTCGAAGCAACTGTCATTATATTATCATGTTTTCATTTTCTCAGTTGAAGTATAAAGTTGTAGTGTGAGTAACTTAAGAGTATCTAGATATGTGCAAAATGAATTGCTTTTAAGACAGGTGGGCAAGTTATCTCAATTAAAAGTTGCAATCAACCTACCTGTAACAGAGCTGCAATTGTGCCAAATGAATGCCATAACATTGGGGCAAGATCAGGGACAGACTCTCGTTTTTTACTCAGCTCCAATAGTGCATTCTCACGAGTTTCAGGACTGGATAGTTCATTAATCCACTGGTAAATCTTCTCTCGATCAACCTGTGCAAGTGCCGTTGGCACCGGCTTTAAAAAGAGAGAACACGCTTAAGGAAACTTTATAATTGTGATCAACTTCAGGTAATTAATACTTCAATTGAATCAGGGCAAGCAGCAGATTAAGTGGCTTTCTTCAGAAAGTAGAAGACCTCTGCCTCTTTGAAGGCTACTGGCATGAGCCCATCACGCAAAGATGCATCCTACTCTGTGGAGCTCAGCAATCAATCCCTTATGGTTAGCTCAAATGAACTGAGATGGGAAAGGAACAAAAGTAAATGTGTTTAGGTGGACATCTTAAAACATTTTGTTCATATCTTCAAATGTCATAAACTGAATTTGATTAGTGTATTGGATACCCTAGTACACACTGTATCAAAAAGAAGTCAGAACTCAGTATGGATATGACTTGATGTTTAATAGTGAGCTCCTAGTTAAAAAAAAAAGAAAGAAAAAACGCTGACAGCCTCAGGAATACAGGACAAAAAAGAGAGACAGAAGACTGAAAATAAATCAGTACCAAACTATGAATCTATTCTATGGTATGTCAGAAGTAATATGAAAGCCTTGGGACAGCGTACTTTAGTATTTGTTGAAAACAAGTTAATAGACTCATGAAAGAATGGGTGATAATGTGAACTGAATAAAAAATGAGTGACCAGTATAAAAAAACTTGTTGAAGAGGTTCAATATCCTAAAAAATAAAGTGATAATTTTCAAAGTAGAACAAAAGATGATGTATGAAGCAGCTTACAGACACGATGAAAGCAAAAGTATTTACAAGAATAGAAAGTCAGTGAGAGTTGTAGTGAAGTGTTAACTACATTCAGGTGTATTTCCTTTCCTAACATCTTGTTCTACAGCTCGAGTGTCAAACTCACCACGTGACATATCACAACTTTTTTTCCTTCACGGAGCTAGGGGTGGGCATGGCCTGCGCGTGACGCATCTACCCCGTGGGCCGGCAGTTTGACACCCCTGTTCTACAATACAATATTATTACTTACTCCTGTTTTGTGCTTTGCATAATGTTGCTTACCCTGCAAGGGAATAGCATGATGGGTATATACATAGCAATCACCTGACTATACCACAGCAAAAATTCTGCTCTGCTCTTTTAAACAGAGAGCTGAGGTTATGTCTTTTCACACCAATATTCACAAGAATCTGGTCCAGGTGGTCCAGGATTACAATCATTTGTTTAGTGACAATTCAAAGTTACAACACTGAAAAAAGTGACATGTCTCTTTTTCACATGGCCGCCACAGCACCCCTGTGGTCACATGACCAAAATTCAGGAACTTAGCAACTGGCATCTATTTATGACCAGTTGCAGTGCCCCAGTGTCACTGATCACATTTTGCAACCTTTTAACAAGCAAAGTCTTTGGGGAAACCAAATTCACTTAACCATGTTACTAACTTAACTGCAGTGCTTCATTTAACAACTGTGGCAAGAAAGGGCATAAAACAGGGCAAATTCACTTAACTATACTGATGAGCAATAGAAATGTGGAGCTCAACTGTGGTCATAAACTGAGGACTACCTGTATCAGGTACCAACAACTACCCTGTTTCCCTGTAAACAAGACCTCCCTGGATAATAAACCCAATTGGGCTTTTGAGCGCATGCACTAAAATAAGCCCCCCCCAAATAAGCCCTCCCTGAAAATATTTAACTTCATGTGCAGCCGGTCCCCGCCATTTCCTCTGGTTAGGGAGACAGAGCTGGAAATCAGGTAAGATGGCAAGAGGAACCCCGTCTTGCTCCACGTGCCCCAAAATAATAAGACCTCCTCGAAAATAAGGCCAAGCGCTTATTTTGGGGTTCAAAAAAATATAAGGCAGGGTCTTATTTTCGGGGAAACACAGTAATAATTATGCTGTTTTCATTACTTCCAAAGTTTTATTCCACCATTACAGTATTCTTCAACACTGAAGCAGTTACTGTATCTTGAATGGCCATAATTATGAAACTTTGCCCAATTTCTAAACTGAATGCCATTCCACATATAGTATCTTAAAAGTTTACTGTATATTAGCTTGTTTGTACAATTAATGTAACAAGTGTGGAAGGAACAAGAGAACAACAGAACACAAAAATCAGGAGGGAAGAAGCAAAACAAAAAGGAACAGCATGCAAAGACAAATACACAAGAGAACTGGTTTTCCACTCATATCTAGAAAGGGAATCTACCACTGCCAGGTTTTAACAGAGAAATGGCATCTTGCTTTTCACAACTATTCAAATACTTCTATTTAGTTAAACTTCCAATCAAGTTACTGTTACATTTGCTGGGAAGTCATTGGTAGAAACTTTAATCCAACCTATTTGCCATTTCAAAGCTACATCCTATATATACTGCTCAAAAAAATAAAGGGAACACAAGCAGAAGACACCCGAGATCTGAATGAATGAAACAGCCTTATTAAATACTTTGTTCTTTACATACAGTAGTTTATACACTGCTCAAACAACTAAAGGGAACACAAAACTACTGTACGTAACGAGCAAAATATTTAATAAGGCTATTTCATTCATTCAGATCTCGGGTGTCTTCTGCTTGTGTTCCCTTTATTTTTTTGAGCAGTGTATATACACGGTACTTAGAATTTTTTTTTTTTAAAAAAAATCGAGCTACTTTCACACAACCCTAACTAATAACGCTCCCAAAGCAGTACTTTTTGAAAAACTATTAAAACGTGAAATTAAAAAGGCACATGGATAAGACTAAATGACTGCAGATAATTAAACACGCCATCGCCAGAACTTTACCTAGGATCTACACGCCCAGCAGCTGGCCCTTAAGAAGCTCCCTCCAAATCACTAATCTCTGGAGCCACCTTCAGATGTCCCAGCGTTATATGCACCGGCAATTACAACCCCGCATAGTTTAGCATATGGAAATGCACGCAACCGTCACCATCGGGTCGCTGCAAGCTCGCACTACTCTCGAAGACAAGGCTCAGCTCCTGATCGGCAACGACCGGGGGAACAGGGAGCTGAGGGCGCAGGAAAGGACGAGCGTTTCTTATCGAGGACAATTTGGCGGGAAAAAAAAAACAAACCCGGGCGGTTTGGTCTCGGAGCCCCCTTCCCCTTTAAGCTCATCCTCCTCCCATGAGAGGAATGGGTGGCTCCCCCCACCTCTCTGCAAACAGGCCTCTCGTTCCCTTTAATAGGCACCGTCTGCATCGGGCCTAACTTGGCCTTACCGCAGCCGTGGCCAAACTGTGCATGGTCGGGGGCTTCTTTTGAGCTCAGGAGGCCGCTTCAACTTCAGCTGCCGCCATCATGGATCCGAGCGCAAGCCACCGCCTCTTCCTCTCGGCCCTTCTGGCTCCGCCGCTCTTGCCAACCGTCGTGACCTCTGACCTCTGCTTGGGCCCGAGGGAGGGGAAAAAAAAGAGGCGGAGCGCATGCGTCGTGGCCGCTTCGAAGCCACTCTTTCAAAAACCGCGCACGGGAAAATTAAATTAAAAAAAAAAAAAAAGGAGGCCGATATCTCCTCCTCCTCCTTCCCTCTCCGCGCGTGCGCAGAAGGCCGAGCGCGAGAGAGTCGTCACTCGGCCCCGCGAAGTAAGTACTGTAGTCTCGGGGAAAGTTGTTCCTGCCGTCATCCGCGTGGAGGTCTGCGGCGGGAAAGGCGGCAGCCGGCCGTCGCCGTGATGACGTAAAAGAGGGGGGGGTTTTTCTCCCTCTTCGTTTCTCTCCCGCGATTGTTTCTCTCCCCACCTTTTTTTTTTTTTAAATTCCTTCTTCTTCTTCTTCTTCACGTGCGTCTTTGCGTCAGACGGACGTTCGCGCGGCTGATCTGGTTCCCGCCAGCTGCCCTTTTCCACAAAACGAGAGGGGCGGTGGGGGGGGGGAGGCTTGGCTCTCCTCCGCTTTGGGGTCCGGCGAAGGTAGGCTGGCAAGCGCCGTGAGGTAGGAAAAAAAGGAGGGGCGGGTGGGTGGGGGCAGAGAGAAAGACCCCCACCCCGAACGGAAGAGAGGCGACGGCATTTATACAAAGGGAGACTCGAGAGGTGCCCACCAAGGCAGGGAGGGGTGTGTGTGTGTTTGTGTGTGAGAAAAGTGCCGTCGCCGCCTCCGCCATCCCTATTGAATTAGCCCGGGATGGGTGGATGTCTTTGGGGGCAGATTCGAAAAGGTGAATCGGATGAGAGGATACCTCAAGGGAGCGGGGAGAGCTGTTGCTGGACTGGGGTGGCACGTTGGAGCCTCCCCACTTTAGTGGAGCTAAACCCCACTTGTAGCTTCGCGAAAGGGGGCGAAATCCAACCTCTTGTGTGGTTTCTTACACCTGGGAACTCTGGACGTTTTGTGTGTCCTCCCACCCCCCACAGTACAACACAACAGCAACCTGTGTGTGTATATATATATCTATATCTATCTATCTATCTATATATATGTATATGTGTGTGTGTATATACACACACACACATATATATATGTAGGTCTTTGGTTATTCGGGTCTTCTTCCACGTAAAATTGGAAGTGTCTTGGCGACGTTTCGACGAAGTCTCATTCGTCATCTTCAGGCTGGTGTTCTCGGCTTCGTGCTCCTGGACGAATGAGACTTCGTCGAAACGTCGCCAAGACACTTCCAATTTTACGTGGGAGAAGACCCGAATAACCAAAGACCTACATACAAACACCCGCGAAAACCTGAGAAAATATATATATATATATATATATATGAAAAGGTGCGTGTATTCTACCAGTTAGGTTGCTGTGAAGGCAGCGGGGTGGATGTTTTTTTTTTCCAAATCATTTTTTTTTATTTTAAAACAAAAAAGAAAAATAACATACAAACATCATTCATTCAATGATGAATGCGGGGTGGATCTTCATGTGGGTCCAAAGAGGTGTGATGAAATGGACCCACCGCACCAGTTTTCAGCAGTTGGTATACGGATGGTCCCCACAATCGAGCCTGTTAAGCGAGACACTTTTGTTAAGTGGACGTTTGCCCCGTTTCACGTCCTGTCTTTGCCACGGGTGTGAAGGGAATCGCTGCAGTCGTTAAGTGTTAAGTGAATCTGGCTCCCCCCCCCCAGTTTACTTTGCTTCTCAGAAGGTCGCAGAGTGGGAACACATGATGACTGGGGACACTGCGACCATTATAAATGCAAAACCGGTTGCCAAGCATCCGAAAGTTGATCCCATGACCATGGGGATGCTGCAACAGTTGTAAATGTGAAAAATGGTTGTAAGTCACTTTTTTCAGTGCCGTTGTAACTTTGAACTGTCACTAAATGAACTGTGGTAAATCGAGGATTACCTGTAGTCCCTTGACCTCTTATTTCCTCAGGAGCTGTTATCTTTCTTCCCATCACCCCATCTGACTTTTTGCTGTTCCAGATTGAAATCTAAACTTTAATTTATCTTTCATTTTTCTCCAACAAGGGCTCCTTATCCTATACATAAAATGCCTCAAGGGTTGACCACCAGGGTAGTTGCTGATATATTGATTTTGACATTATATCTCTAGCAGAAATCTGAGATGTAGAATTGAAGCAAGTAAGACTGATTTCCTTGGTGTGGAAATGGAGCTGAAGGAAAAGCTTCTTCGTATAGACAATACTTGTCTACTGTTTCAAAACTTTTAAAATTGGGCAGCATAGAAAGTGCACATTCTGGCTGCAGGTGTCTTGTGTTCATCTGCTTACTGCCTTGAAACTTTTGAAACTGCCTTTCAAGTATTAGATATACTGTAAACTATACTGTGAACTGGCTTGCTGAAAAGAAAATAAACACACAGAGAATGAACTGTGTTTTTCCTAGTTTAGATGAAATTTTATTCTGCCAGTCAATATTTGGTTTATACAGATAGTCCTCGACTTGTGACTATTCTTTCAGTTGCCGTCCAAAACTACAATGGTGCTGAAAAAATGAAGGTAAGTCCAGTGAGCCTTAGGAGCAACCAGCAGCTTCTAACAGAGTGCTCTAAGTGCCCCTGGAGACCCAATTTGCAGGTTTTAGTGCACTGGAAGCTGCTGCCCTTTGTAAAGTTTTGCAGGCTGGGCTGAGCAGAGAGTCTGGGTAGGTTCTGCTAGTTATGGGCTTTTCTTTATCCTTGCTGAAGCCAGCAGATTGGTTTTCCAGGAGCCTTCCAACAGAAGCCGCAGACTACTCTGTACCCCAAGTGCCTGCATCCCTCTGTTTTCCCTGGTTTTGCCACCACCTCAAACAGTACCTTTATATAGCCTTCATCTTTGACGGGAGTTGCCATCGACTCTTCTGCCTTACCTAGTGATGCAGAACTCTGTTGCCTCTTTGTTTGGCTGGGCATGGCAAGCTCCTTTGCCACTCAAAACTCCGAGACCCTGTTGTGCTTACCATACACGTCCTAGGACTCCATCCTTGCTCGCTCTGGATTCCAGACCAGAAATAGGAAGAAAGTAGCAAAGATCAGTGGAGGGTGGCAGGGATAAGTGGCAGAATGCAGAGCAGCCAAAAGGGCAGAGATGCGGGTGGGAGATAGGTGGGTTGGGGGAAATTGAAGCGAAGATGGCAGGTCAGGAGAATTATAAGGTCCTTGCCTACTTACAGTCCTGTCCTGGCCTAACGACCACAGTTGAGGCTACTGAAACTGCTGGTGCTAAGCAGTGGGATCACATGCTGTTTTGCCTAATGACTGCATCACTTAGTAATGGAAATTTGTATCCTGATTGCCATTGTAAGTCAAGGACTACCTATGGTACCCTTTGATTTCTGTATTGTTAGTTGACATTTTAAGGGGATTACTCCCTGATATTTATTGTAAATGTTCCCAACTACAATAGGTCCTTGCAGGTAGGTCGGTTGAAGGAATAAGAAAAATGGTCACAAGGATACCCTAGCATCTGTTGACATCCTTTTAGTATTTGTATCTCTTTGAACCTATACGTATCTCAGCAGTGGTGATTAACTACATTACTTGAAAATCCACTTTGCAACTTTTTGTCCTTTGTGACACATTGTTTCCCAAAATATATATGGAAGAATTCATACTTGTTTTGTAGAAGAGTATAACTCAAAAAAGGAGTTTTATTTTCTTTTAAAATATACAATAGAAATCTGTTATATTTAAAATGTAGATATATAAAAATGTGTGTATCTGTTTTCTAATTATTTAAAATTTTAAGAATAAAAGCCATTTTGCAATGGGTTTAAATTCAGTAGACTGGAAAATTAAACTCATGATTCTAATCAGTTTAAACACATTGAATATTATAGGATTGGTTTATAATACACTACTTTTAACACTCAATCCTAATTTTTAGCAAACCAATCCTACAATATTCAATGTGTATACATCTACACACCACATATTCCTAAATTTCTTTAGAAAATCTGTTACCTCTTTCAGTCACTTCATCCAATTCAGTTATGCTTGGAAGTTGGGTAACTCATCAAAATATATCAGATTTATTTCTGTTCTGCAGAAATATTTGTGATAACTTGTCAACATTCAACATTTCTGTCCAATGTACTTTCCCCTGTCCTTTAATATTCTAGAATAGTTTGGGATTCATGGGGCATTGAACTCCCAAATGTAATGGAAAATTAATTATATCAATGGTATTTTTTTCACTGGTAAGCAAGCACAGTTGAATTCAGGCTGCATTTTGGGTTGGGGTAGTCATATTTTAAAAAGTTAATGTACAAACTTCTTGATTTTAAATTTACTGCCAAATTTTTAAACCATAGTAATCAACTTCTTAAATTTATTTTTTTGCAAACAGGTGTGTTAAAGAGTAGTCTTCATTATATTCATAAATTATTTGTATAAAAACATGACTCCACTGAAATTACATGGGTCTGTTCGCATGCGGAGCATACATACCGGGACTACAAAATGGAAAGAAGGAACATTTGAAATTGTGGATAAAGAGAGCAAAGTTATTTTGGTAATTCACTACAATGCTGGAGGAATTCCAAAAATATTTCCGGTGAGTTGGATTTCAGGGGCTTTTTTGTTTGAAGTATTTTATTATTTGGGCCTTTATGAGCCACGGTGGCACAGTGGTTAGAGTGCAGTACTGCAGGCTACTTCTGCTGACTGCCCGCTGCATACAATTTGGCAGTTTGAATCTTACCATGCTCAAGGTTGACTCAGCCTTTCATCCTTCCGAGGTGGGTAAAATGAGGACCCAAAATATTGGGGGCAATATGCTAACTCTGTAAACCGCATAGAAAGGGCTGTAAAGCACTGTAAAGCGGTATATAAGTCTAATTGCTATTGCTATTACGATAGCTTTCTTTTTCAAATTCATTTAACTGTCACTTGAATTTTCCTCAAGAGATTCATTTCACTTTTCCAGAACACTGACATTATTATATTGGGAATTACCGGTATTCAGTTGTTGTATGTTCAGTGGATTTGTATATGAAAGAAAAAAACGTTACATTTATCTGAAAAAAACATTTGTTTTTATGTAAGCATCATGTTTTTTTTAATTACGACGCTAAG